GAAGCAATCAGCACTACATCCATTAATCCTAAAGTAACTTTGCTAGTTTCTTTTCGTACTAGAAACATTTCATTTGATTTATATGTCCATTAATGAACTCCCGCAGCAGTCAATTTTCAGTGACAAATCAAAACCAGAATACTTTTAATATCTGATGTGCAGATGTGATGACATAGGGAATATACTAGCTACTTATTGAAATGCAAGATTTTATTTAAGTGGACATATTTTTAAATATTTTAATTCAAGGATTAAAAACATACCTATAAGAAGCTTCAATAAAGACCACAGCATAAATCCTCTACCAAACTATTACCTTAAAGATATTCTGATTTTGATTTACTGTATCTGACAGTGCTTTAACACTGTGGAATCTGATGTACACTAACCTCCACCCTTTCTTCTGCTGTTTCTAACATGACCAACAACAGGTGTGCCAATCATCTTAAATATATCTATTTTTAATTCCATAATCAACTTATGTATCCATATTCAGTGAAATATTACCGTATTATTAATAAAGGTTTCCCAGTTTGGAATAATAATATTTCACACTTGCAGCACATTCTTCTTGAAAGGGCAAAATTAGAGCAACTAATGAGCTATGTGATGTTTAACTGGTCACCTCCTAATTTACACATGTTCCATCATCACGTATGTTCATGTCTCTAAAATCCAACTGAGTTCTTTATAACCTCAAGCACTCTTCATTGCATACTTGCCGCCTTAATAAACTTTTTTTATTGCTCTAATATCAAAGATTTTCAAAAAGTACAGCAGTTTTGTATCCCGGTGACCCAGTCTGAGCTCATTTCAAACAGATATTTATTACACACTGCTACAGCCTTCTATGAAAAACTGTGAACTATAAATTATGCCAGTTTCCTACAAAGATAATAAATTATATTAATATTTTGTCTCACTTATCCTTGCAACAATTGAGCATGTCTAAAAACAAGATTTTTTTTGAAAAACGATATGGCTGCATTCATGTAATAGGCTTCTTAGGACCAAGAAGGTAGGAGTGCATTCTGGGTCTTCCGAAACATGTCTCAGAACCAGTTAGCCTGTTGCTAGAAAAAGGGGCGTTGGAGTATTTTAAATATGAGAACCATGTACAGTATCATAGAGTTAAGACAACTCCAACATATATACAGTTGAACTGGGACAACTTTTACAATCAAAGCTTTCTGTCCTGTTTTGGGTAAACCATTGCAGATTCCAGTTTACGCATACCAGACCATAAGACCTCATCCCCAACGTTACAATTAATTCATAAAAAAGTTTTGTAAATTAACTGGAACAGCTGTTGCTTGCAGCTGTGTTACAAAGCACTACGGGCTCGTCTACACTGGCCCCTTTTCCGGAAGGGGCATGTTAATTTCACCTATCGTAGTAGGGAAATCCGCGGGGGATTTAAATATCCCCCGCGGCATTTAAATAAAAATGTCCGCCGCTTTTTTCCGGCTTTTCCTACTTGAAGTAGGAATAAGAGCCTCCGGAAAAGGGCGCTTTTTCCGGAGGATCGGGGCCAGTGTAGACGCTCTTTTCCGGCTTTTTTAAAAGCCGGAAAAAAGCGGCGGACATTTTTATTTAAATGCCGCGGGGGATATTTAAATCCCCCGCGGATTTCCCTACTACGATAGGTGAAATTAACATGCCCCTTCCGGAAAAGGGGCCAGTGTAGACGTAGCCTACAAGTTCAAAGAATTGCAATCTACGGTTATCTACAATGCCTTTTAACCAAATGTACACAGTGCAGAGTGCCTGTGTTTTTCCAGGATGCCTCTGGTTAATATCAAGGATAACCCCACTATTCAAGTCAAAGTTACAACTACTGAAACCTACAGAAGTTAGAACTGTAAACGAATTTTAAAATAATCTAATCTAGTCCCCTTGACCATGCACAATTTTTTCCTACATTACATTGTATAGTCTGGTTTCATCAATGGATGTTAAATTGCATTTAATCAGCTAATCGAATAGTTGATGGAATTTACATCAACTACTCAATTAATCAATAAGGGGGGAAACTGCTGAGCCACAGCAGGATTAGCTCCCAGTCCCAAAAACTAACCTCACTGCAGCTCTGCCTTTTAAATGTACTAAGAGCCAGCAGCTGATTTCCAGCTCCCC